AAAATGGGGAAGAAAGGATTGGGGAGTCATTTAGAGGAAACTGGAAGAAGATGGCGTTACAGCTTCTTTTACAATTGCCAGAGATAAATACCATAATCCAACATCACTGTAGCAGATACTTGCTTATGCAACCAGCCTTCTCCCTCCTGCAGCCCTCAACACCATCTGAAATATACTGTGAAGCAGATTTAGAGAGCAAATAGGGATTGCAGGCAGGGAGGAGATTGGTCTCCTTCTTTTTCTGCTGCTGGAAGCAGTTGTGTCAGAACAACAATGTTGAATCCCTTCCTGAGAGTCAGATTTCACATGACAGACAGCTTTCTTCTTCTCTTAAAAAATAACAGCAGCTATGGGTATCATAATCTAGATCAGGATTATAGTGTGAGAGTGGAGAGCTTGGAAGCATCTGATGCTGAAAATCTGGCTCAAAGATGCTGTTTACTCCCAAAGTTTTATGCACCCTTATCCTGTCTGGTTTCTGTAGTCTTGGCTCCTAACCTTAGAGCCTGGTAAACACCTTTGACTCTCTTCAGAAAAAGCCAGAAATGAAAACATGTGTTCCTTGAAGGAACTTGATTCATTTTCAGAAAAAAAAATTAGGATTAAAGGCAGAAATATCCTCTCTCCTACTTTTCAGACCCTATGCAGTCTCTCACTTGCAACCATTAGTTGCACGAGAGAGAGTGGCATTGATGGCATAACTATAGCATAAGGAACAGAAATGACAGTACTTTTGGGATCAGCAATATTTCCTAAGGTTACTGTCATTGTGATATGGAAAGCCAACAACTTCTCTTTCATAACTTCCTCATGATTAACTGTACCTTGCAAATAATGCTACCCTAGAAGTTCACAAGAGCCAGTGTCAAAATTAACTTTTGAACCCCTTAGGACTGTTACTCAACATGGGTAAGTACATGAGCCAGAGATGGCAACGTCTGGCTTCAAGACTAACTTCCAGTAAAGTATTCCCAATTTCCATCCTCCTTTTTTCAGGAAGAAAATTACCCATCCACCCCACTATTGTTGCTGTGGTACTTATTCTCACTTTGGCTTTCTTCCAGATTTTAAAAAAAAATATTTAGGTGTTTCAGTTTTTGTTTTTGTTTCTTTAGGAATGGGGGGGGGGGACTGCCTAGCTGTCAGTGTCTATTTCTTCCGAACTTAAAATAACCCATATTTATCATCTTCTTGACTTACTCTTCAGATGTGGTTCAATATGCTTAAAACTTACCCATTTAATTTAAATTAAAATCAGGGATTTGGTAGATAATTCTTTCAGACTTTTGCAGCATAATATTCTGTGGTTATGAAAACCGCATAGGAAAATTGGGTGGGGGGGAACGCCCTTTACACAAACCTAGTCTCGAGCCAGCCATTGCCATCTCTGTCTTGTTCAGGGACCCATACTGGATAACAGTTTTTTCTGTCTCTCCCTTCAAGGGGATTTATACATAAATCTTCATAGTGGTTACAACCACTGTGTTTTTATAACAGCTACCATAACAAACTGTTTTTGCCCATTTCAGTATAGGCCAGATTAACATTTTGAATTTTTCCAGTGTAACTATTCAGCAATCCTGTCTCAATTCATTACTTTTCATGTACATAAAAGAGTTATCTGTAATTTTTCAGGTGACACAATGGGATAGGCTTATGCAACTGTTGCCAAGGTATTATGTTACTCTATGAGACAGTCATTTATATGAGAAAGGAGTTGCCAAAGTGTTAAAGATTCTGTATAATTAGAACAAGTTCAAATTCCTAATCTATAAACAAGCAAACAGTGATAAATTTCATTTATAAACCAAATAAACTAGTGTCAACGTAGTCACAGTAACAAGGAGTCACCTGTGTTTCCTTCATGCTAACAGAAAATTCCACGTCAAAGTTACTATTATGAAAAAAATATTTCCCATTCAGTCTTTTTATTTTATTTATTTATATATTCAGCTTTTACCCCGCCTATCTAGATTCTAAACTAATCTGGGCATTTTACAGTCCAAGCAATATAAAACCAAGAGTTAAAACAAACAATATCACAAAACAAAAAAAGAGAGATGAACACTTTCCATCGATGGTCCCACACAGAGCCCGTTACCCAATCTGGATTGATTATTAAGCTATAATACAGGGTCCTCCTTGAGCCTACAATGGCTCCTTATGATGAGCTGCTCCTATATGCTTGCCTCCCACTCCCACCATGCAATCTGCACACTGGATGTGATGCTATTGCTAGCATTCCGCTGGTGTTTGTGTAAGGTCTGCACCTATTTTAATTGTGTGCCTTTTAGTCAGTTCTGATTTATGGCAATGCTTTCCAGAGTTTTCTAAGTAGAGAGTACTCAGAAGCGGTATACCATTCTCTTCTTCTGAGGATGATCTAAGACTGTGCAGCTTGCCTACACTGCCTGATTCGCAACAAACTCAAGGTGAGAAGACCTAATCACAGTCAGTAAAATAAGATTACCAATAAGCACATTAGGCTTTGTTTTTCAAACTAAAACTCATTAAATAAGTTTTTGTTCACCTAGTTGTGTCTAAACATCTGAAGCAGGAACAATGTTTCAAGCTACGTAACTCTCCCTCCAGTTATGGTAGCACTCCAATGCATTACATATTTTACTGCATTTATACATCTATATCCAGCACACATGTGCTCCTGTATCATCTGAAGAAACATAGAGGATCTATTGGGCAATTTCCAGTTCATGAACTCCAACTGCTCCAGAAGTATCATGTGTCACCAAAAAATGCCAGCGTTGTTCACATATTGAGATATGATAGATGATTCTGGGTTCAATTTCGAACACCACATGAAAAAGAGCAAAGGACAAGCGGTGAGCGAAGACAGCAGTCAGGAGAATGGAGGGGTGCAGGCAAAGACAACCATGGATAAGAATCTGAGGCCAATGGCAGCTTATTTTGTAAGAGGAAATGTATCTTAATTTTGATATTGGAGGGGCATGTTTCTCCTAGCAACGTATATTTTGTATGCATTCTACAGCGACTTGAATCCAAATGTACTTTACATGAATGGAAGGTATTTTCATGCACATGGAAGCTCCCTTGTGTGGCATTCTCCAGTGTGAAGCGGTGAACTTTCACAGAATGTGCTGGGTGCTTACAGTGAGGAGGAAAGGCAAGCATAATCCCACTGGAGCCAAGCCAGTATTAGTGATATGAGTACCCTGCTATCCATTTGTACTAGACAGTATTGTTAACTCCATTTGCATCATCTTAATAGAGCATCTAACAAAAACATACTTCTGTTTCTGCTTAAAATGAAAGACAAAGAGCCCCTTAATTTAAAGAGCCTACAGAACTTATCTTTAAGACCCAAGGAGTTTAACTGAAAACTTCAGACTATGAAACTTCAAAGCTATAAAAACAGTAAAATAATCTAGTGGCAGGTACATGATACCATTTCAAAAACTCTGTATAGTTTTAGTATTGGATTTCATGTTCTCTGATCTTTCTTTAGTGGAGAAAAAGGCCTGTCTCTAGTGAAATCAAGTTTTATTTCCACTGCCCCCTCAGGACTTTTTTTTATCTGACTTCCATTTTATGCATGACCTATCAATGCGTAGCTGCAGTGGTTAAAAAAGTTAACTCGAGAGATTGCACATATTGAATCTAGAGACTTATAGGAGTCACTGCAGAAGATATGAGTGATATTTAATATTTAAACACACACACACACACACACACACACACACACGTTTCAGTCCTGTGTCCTATTTATGAACTTTTCTCGTATAAAGAAAAAACTAACTAAAGACAAGCTAGATCAAAAGGCAAACAATTGTTCATCAATTAGCACATAAATTATTTGTAAATTCTATTATAAATCCTTAAAACCATGAGATAAAATATTCAAAATACTAATGAAAATTTCCAGAGAGATTCCTTCCACTCCTTCTACTTAAAGACATTTAAATAGTTGTTACAAGCTAATTAAATACAACAAACAAACATTGATATCAGCAGCAGCAACCAGAATAAGATTCACAAACAAGTTAGTTTAATATTATGTTATGGGATGCCAATTCGCATCAGACATCTGGTGACCTTAACAAGGTTTTCAAGGTATGTGAGATATATAAGAAGTGGTTTTACTACTGCCACTCTCCAATGATTTTCCATCACTAGAGCAGGGATTTAAACCTAGATCTACCAGTCCATCACTCTATCCAGTGTACCACATTGGCAATTTTTAGCTTAAATATTTGGACCAAAAAAAAGAGAAGTTTTTATAATAATTCACATGACATACAGTAATTGACATGTGCATTTTTCAGAGTGGTCATGTCCAAAATTAACTTTAAAAAAATTATTTTAAGGTTGAAACACCACTGTGTTCAGTTCTTCATTGGCATTTACTATACAGTAATTCCGTAACTGTACTTACTTTGAGAAGATTTCAAGCAATGGGAGGAAAGCTCAAAGATATACTAGCTGAAGAAGTACATAAACAGAATTATTTCTAGAGTTCACAAATACAGTAATTCTGTCTTGATTTCTCCTCTTGAAGCAGAGAGAAGAATGTAAAATGTCCTTCAATGTAAAAGCATCTGTGTTCCTTCAATACCAATTTTAAAAAACATTTAATTCCGATCCATAAATGAATGGGGTTTCTGGTACAAGCACTATGAAGGCTCTGGTACTTACCAACATAAAAACAACTTAGAAATTGATTGTTCATTTATAAGTAATAGTTGATTTGATTTTTTAAAAGTTTAAAAGACGGAGTTTGTATGTGAAATTATACTTATTTTTTGAACTTTTCTTTAAAACCAACTTTGTACACAATGCAAGCTCACCATACTGAATAGCTCTGAATATCACTGGAATTGATAGGCACACTTTCATTTAAACATTCTTATTTATTTTATACATAAAATATAAACTTAGGCAAAGTATGAATGGAAAGAGTTCTTATTCCGGTTGCAAATCATATAGGTATGTAATGAAATTTAGAAGATGTGGCAATTACTTACATGCTACTTCCAGTGAAGCATTGCGACTCACAGCTTCCCCCAGATAGTTCCTTGCAACACATACATAACTTCCTTCATCTGGCTTACTCCTGCGTCCATGTACTATACGTAGGAAAAATAAAGATCCGCTGGGAAGCAGCATGCGATGTGAGCGGGGGTCGTCTTTGTCCGTCTCCACACGCTCGCCATCTTTATACCACTCAATTGTAGGAGTTGGCCTTCCTTCAGCCTTACAGTTCAATGTTGTTGGCTCTCCTTTAGAAACAATTACATCTGATGGATGCTCCACAATTCGAGGTGGAAAGTCTTCCTGGCGAAGACGGGATCCTAGCAAAAATAAGCAAGAGGAAAAATAATTAGCAAGTTTCTTTTAAAGCTCACTAGCTCTTTTACCTAAAACAAATTGTTTTATTTTTTTAAAAAAAACCTCATACACTCCTAAGAAGATTTCAGGCTCCAAATGTATAAACAATTAACTTGAAGTAAGTACTATTGCCTGAATGATGATTAGCTATGAGCAGACTCATGCAGGATTATCTCTTAATTTCTTGTTTCTAAAACTTCATATTTATACAATCATATATAGGCACCAGTTTATCAATCATTCAAGACTAGGGATGAGCACACAGAAAGTGTTTATATTTCTTTCATTTTAGGTTTGGGGGTGGCTTTTGAATGTACATTTTTTGTGTATTGGCCCTTTTGTTTTAAACCCTTTCCCACATTTCCCTTTCATGTTTCCTCATTTGTACATTTCAGGAATCAGAGTAAGCAGGCCAGGCAACAGCAAAAATGATCCAAAAGACATCAGAAAGATTTTTCTTAAAAAATGAAATTCAGAAGAGGCACACTGACACAGGCAGGCTGCCTGACTTCCATTTATTAGTTAAGTATCAAAATACATTCATTCAGAAAATGTATTTAATTGAAATATTTGAATTGTATGGTCGTCATGCAGTTCTCCCAGGTTAGGGCTGCTGTATATGTTGTACAGCACTCAGTTAATACATGGATTTAAGAGGGCACATACAGTACAGATACACCCTTCTGAAGTTTCATAAGAGGCAGAGCTTCGTGGGATGGAAATTGTACTTTGTTGTTCCTATTGCTTCAGTCTTCAAAATGTGAGTCTCTTTTGAAGACTGAAGCAATAGAATAACAATGTCTTTCTACTATCATTGAAGGTGAAGAACTGGTGGTTTCAGAATACTGTCACAATATTCCAATTCACTATATTCTGCTGAGTAAATTAAACTTGTGTACTGATATGTACTTTATGGCTGACTGTCCATACATAGGAAAGTTAAATTTAAAAGTTAAATAATAAAGACTAAATAGCCTACCTATGCCTGTTCCCATTCTCTCCATCTAACCTCACAGAAACAGCATTCCATCTGTTTTGTGGAAGCTATGGTGCCTTGTTTAATGGCGAGCAACCCCTGTACATACTAGTGTTTTAAATGGATTTTTTCCTTACCCACAAACGTATTGCTAAAGATCTTTTCCCACCTCAGGCTTTCCTCTCCTCTCTTTCTGTTTGTTTGCTTTGCTTCCTCTTGCTTGTTAGTCGGTGCTTCTGATTTCTGACCATTTATTTCATTTTCTTCTTTTTACCCTCTGACTATAACTACAGACAGCAACTGTAAGTAAAAATACATTCTTTTCTACTATCAGTGCTTCTAATGTGATTTTATACCAACAAAGCACTAGTATGTTGTGAGGAGTAGTGATGATATTGGGCTGATTATTCCACCTTTCTTATTCTGCTACTAAAAGAGAATAACCAAAATAATTTCCCAAACAACTTAAATGTATACTGTTTTTAGTGAGTTTTAGAAATGAATGAGACAACCATATTGTCATGCTTTTTTAAGAAGAAGGATGCTGCAGAAATAAACAATGAATTATGAATGACTGTACTTTTGCTGTCCAAATAATCCCATAATCTTTATGAGGGAGAAACTTCTCTCTCTCTTACTTTAAAAAAAATCATGCAGAACATTTGTAGAACATGTCACACGAAATTGTTTGATTCATTCAATCTATCCTTACTGACTTTTATCCTTACTGACAGGCATTTCCAAAACCCTGCAGATCTGTTACCTATGTTATGTCCGTTATTCAAAACACAGGGTGGCTAGTCGTAGCATATGTATGCAAACAGTAAGACAAGTGCTTTAAGGTGGCTGTAAATTCAGTTTTGTTCCCTAAATCCATGCTGTAATAGTGCAAGAAGAACATATAATAATGGCAAAATGGATGTTAAATGATTGTTTCATTAATGACAGCGACAGAAAGTCCTAGTGTCTGCACTCTCTTTGGCTCAGTCAACCAGAACATTCAGAATACTGTTAAAGGGGGTGGGGTTTGAAGATCTGTGAGGGAGTGATAGTCAGTCTGAATGTGCTCTGAGTCAGAATACAGTGTTTTGAGAGAGTCTGAATTTTGTGCGAGTGAGCAGAGGTAATTTGAGAGAGATCGATTTGGTTTTGAAGCAAGAAAAAAACAAAACCCTGAAAGTTAAGAGCCCAGAAAAATAAGAGGTTGCTATTAGAATAGTGAGAACTTAGCCACACCACCACAATGAATGCCATGTATCTTAAAATTCAACACTAGCAATGTTTAATCAAGTAGACTGCACAATATATGACACACAAACACTATCTTCTTGTAAAGCTGCTATCCTTCTTACACAATGACACTCACAGCTAATTTACTGGAAACATCCAAAGGTCCCCAACCTTCTTGAACCCAGGGGACCTTTGGGGATTCTGAAAAAAAAAAGTAAGCCTTGTCGTGTACGTATCTGTTTTTCTCCCTCTCTTGATTTTGTGTGTTCTCTTTTGTCTGTTACTTTGACTAATGCATGGGGGTGGAGTGGAGATTTAAAATAAATCAGGGTCTCTCTCCAGTGTGGGCAACAATAATTTCAGACTGCATACCTCCAGGCTTGCTTCATAGGGTCTCTCTCCAGTGTGGGCAACAATGATTTCAGACTGCATACCTCCACGCTTGCTTCCTTCTCATTGCATTTAAAGAAAATATGGTGGGTAAGTCTTTCCCAGGTTGGTACTTTGCCATCATCACCTTGAAGACCATGCACAAGCTGCTCTAACTTTTCCATTCTTTTCTCCTTCACATTACTATCCAGCAATAGATATTGTTTCTTTCTCTGACCCCAACGCTTGCCACCTATAGGTACATCCTGCTATTCAAAGTGCACAGCAGCACTTTTTTGTTCTGTTCTCCATAGAAAAGCCTGGCCTATAAAAACTCCTCTGAACTTTTCACCAGTAACAAAAGATATAAGAACAAGGCATTGGAACAAGCAAGTAACACTTTGAATTTGAAGAAGTTTCACTTTCCTTATTTTCTTTATAATTATCTGCAACAGTCTTCAGTTTTTATTTCTAGTTTTTCTACTTTTTTCTTCATTCCAGTAGTATCAGTGCTTGAGACTGATACATATCATTCAGGACATTAAACAATGCCTTAGCTATCACATCCTTTCCTTTTCAATGGAAAAACTACAATATTGTCTGAAATATAACACTATGATCAGATAGATGGAGGCCGGATAGCTCAGTGGTTTAGGTATCTGGCTGCAGAGCCAGAGATTGGGAGTCTGATTATCCACTGAGCCTTCTGTAACTACAGCCAGCCTGTGTGGCCTTAGGTAAGCTGCAGTCCCAAGATGACCCCAAAAGAAAGGAGTGGCAAACTACTTCTAAGTACTCTCTACCTAGGAAACTGAGAAAAGGGTTACTTCACGTCAGAACTGGCTTGACAGCACATTATTATTATTATTATGACCAGACAGAATGGAGAATATGTATTATTTCACTGAAAGGATGTCTGCTTTACTACACAAACCTCTCTACTGAGTTTCTGCATGAATTTACAAAATTTTACCATCACACAAAGTCGTATTTGTCAAAAAACAAAAACTATTAAAAGAGAAGGGATTTTAAACTATAGCCCAAATCATCTTCCTTAGTGACACTAGTATAACACAAATGACATAACCTTTTGAGGAAAATCAGCTTCACTGAAGAAACTGCTATAGACATATTGCATACAGAATTATGTGACTAGGCATACAACTGATCAGGTCAGTTTAAACTGACAATCTCTCCTGATTTCTTAGCTTGAGGCAATTTACCTACAAAAGTTATGTCATTGTGCCTCTAAATGCCCTAACACAAATGACATAACCTTTTGAGGAAAATCAGCTTCAGTTAAGAAACTGCTATAGACATGTTGCATACAGAATTATGTGACTTGGCATACAACTGATCAGGTCAGTTTAATATGACAATCTCTCCTGATTTCCTAGCTTGAGGCAATTTACCTACAAAAGTTATGTCATTGTGCCTCTAAATGCCCTAGAGATGATGGTACCAATATTTAAAGGGATCGTCGTCGCCGTTTAGTCGTTTAGTCGTGTCCGACTCTTCGTGACCCCATGGACCAGAGCACGCCAGGCCCTCCTGTCTTCCACTGCCTCCCGGAGTTGTGTCAAATTCATGTTGATTGCTTCGCGGACACTGTCCAGCCATCTCATCCTCGGTCGTCCCCTTCTCCTCTTGCCGTCACACTTTCCTAACATCAAGGTTTTTTCCAAGGAGTCTTCTCTTCTCATGAGATGGCCAAAGTACTGCAGCCTCAGCTTCAGGATCTGTCCTTCCAGTGAGCACTCAGAGTTGATTTCCTTTAGAATTGATAGGTTTGTTCTCCTTGCAGTCCAGGGGATTCCCAAGAGCCTCCTCCAGCACCACAATTCAAAGGCATCAATTCTTCGGCGGTCTGCTTTCTTTATGGTCCAGCTCTCACTTCCATACATCACTACAGGAAAAACCACAGCTTTGACTATTCGGACTTTTATTGGCAAGGTGATGTCTCTGCTTTTCAAGATGCTGTCCAGATTTGTCATCGCTTTCCTCCCAAGAAGAAGGCGCCTTTTAATTTCAGGGCTGCTGTCTCCATCTGCAGTGATCATGGAGCCCAGGAAGATAAAATCTGACACTGCCTCCATATCTTCCCCTTCTATTTCCCAGGAGGTGATGGGACCAGTGGCCATGATCTTAGTTTTTTTGATGTTGAGTTTCAGACCGTTTTTTGCACTCTCCTCTTTCACTCTCATTACAAGGTTCTTTAATTCCTCCTCACTTTCTGCCATCAGAGTGGTATCATCTGCATATCGGAGGTTGTTGATATTTCTTCCGGCAATCTTAATTCCAGCTTGGGTTTCTTCCAGTCCAGCCTTCCGCATGATGCATTCTGCATATAAGTTAAATAAGCTGGGGGACAATATACAGCCTTGCCGT